CACGGCGGGGTGCTGGGTGATACAGGCGGGGTGATGCATGGGGAGGAGCTGGATGCCAGCATTGCGTTCACACCCCCCCCTCCCCAAATACAGCGAGCGCCATCAGCCCTGACCCGAGCAGTGGGGGATCATTTAGACGCTCGTTTCCTTAATGACACTTCCCTTATGGAGCCCCATAAATTAACCGGAGCCGATGGCCGCCTGCCAGGCTGGCCTCATCCTGCCCAGCGCTGTGCCCCGATGGGGCAGCGGCCACAACCCCCCCCCCCAGCCCAGCTCCGTGGGGAGGGGACGGTGCCTGGTGGGGGCTGTGTCCCTGTCCCCGTCACCTGTAGAGGCTGGTGCCAGCCTCGGCCTCCAGCCGCTGCCAGAGGTGGAAGCTGTCGGGCATCATGCAGGCGTAGGGCAGGCGGGGGTAGGCGCTGCGGGTGATGCGGCTCTGTCCGTGCGAGCTGCCCCGCGAGTGGGGCAGGAGGAACTGCGGGGCAGGGGGGACGTGGCGGGGTGACCGTGGCCACTGCCACCCCCCCAACCCCGCTGGCCCCATCTGCGCCGGCGCTGTGATGCAGCGGGAACCTGGGGACACCACCTGCCCTGCCAGCTGTGGTGCTGGGAGACAGCGGGAAACAGGGGTGCTGGAACTGGGGATATGGGGGTGCTGGCACTGAGGATATGGGGGTGCTGGCATAGGGAACACGGGGGTGCTGGTGCTGGGGACATGGGGGACCTGGCACTGGGGACATGAGGGTGCTGGCATAGGGAACATGGGGGTGCTGGTGTTGGGGACATGGGGGACCTGGAAGTGGGGATATGGGGGGACCTGGTGCTGAGGACAGGGGGTCCCGGTGCTGGGGACATGGGGGACCTGGGACTGAGGGGACAGTGATCCTGGCACTGGGGACACGGGGGTGCTGGCACTGGGGACCAGGGGTCCTGGCGGTGGCAGAGGGTACAAAGGTCTGTAGATGCCCACCCCAGCGTATCAGGGCTGGGGCCACGGTGGGACGGGGCCACGGCAGGGCTGGGGCCACGGTAGGGTTGGGGACAGGGGTACCTGCTCCAGCAGGAGGGTGTCCCTGTGGCGCTGGGCCAGGTGGTAGGCGGCAAAGGAGCCCTGGATGCCGGCCCCGATGACGATGGCGTCGTAGGTGGCCTGGTGGGGCTGGCTGGGGGCAGCCATGTCCGTTCTTGGCCCCGTCCCCGTCCCCGTCCCTGTCCCCGTGGGCAGCCAGGAGCCGAGCCAAGGGGAGGGACGGAGCAGAGTCCGGCCAAGCCGAGGGGGTGGCGGAGCCTTGGCTGCCCTCCAGCCCCCGTGGGGACAGCGGGGGGCACGTGGGGGCTGCATCCTTCCCACCCCTCAGGGCTGGCGGGGCAGGAGCATCCCCATTCCCCCACCAACACCAGTGCCCAGTCCCACAGGGGGTGGCCGCTCATCCGGCAGCGATGGCACAGCCGGCAGCGTGGGGGGGCCGAGGGGGGTGTCAGCCCTCTTCTTCCCCAACCACCCCCACACCGCTGCCAATGGGTATTTTTACCCCTTCTTGGCACCCAGCACCCTCCGCTCGCCCTGGCCCCAGCACGGCACAGGGGCCACCAGGATCACCCCCCCCCCCTCACCCCAGGGGACCACAGAGCACCGCACTCCCCCAACACCCTCATCCCTCACTGCAGCGGGGCCCCCCCACGGCACCACCAGAGTGAGTGGGTGGGACAGATGTGATGGAAACTCATTTCCAGTAAATCCCTTTTTCCCTCCCCTCTGACTCCGGCTGCAGTGGGATGCGGGGCGTGGTAACGCTCCCATTTGTGTGCCAATGGGAAACCCCCCCGCTTGCTTCAAGGCAAACAGGTATATATTTTTTTTCCTCCAGCACAATTTATTACAGACATAAACTATTCTGTTGCCATCTTTTGTTGTTGTTGTTATTTTTTTTTTTTTGAACGAGAGGTGGGAGTCATCATTTAAGGCTCACCAGAGCAGCCAGGATGCAGCGCAGAGCCCCGTGTCCCACCAATGATGGTGGATTTTCCAAGGCTGAAAAATTTTGGGGTGTGATTTGGGGTTTGGGGACACTCAGTGATGTCTTGGGGGGCAGGAGGGGAATAACACAGGCAGAGGTTGCCAGTTTTGCCCGCTGCTGCCGTTGCCCTGTGCTGCCTGACAGCTAATTAGGGGAATTAATTTACTCTGGCTTTCATGGTGTAAAAGGCATTATTTACTGGTTAATTGTCGTTATTACAAAATGTTAAATATCATTATTTATTTTGCTGCTTGCCTCCAGTGATGGATGAAGCACTGGGGAGTGTGGGAGGCCCACGCCGGGTGGGGGGGGTGGAATTTCCAGCACCCCCCACCAGACCACGGTGCCCAGCTGGGTCACGGGGGCACCCTAGGATTGTGCAAAGGCAGAACTGGCAGCTAACAGCGCTGGAGAGGTGAGAGGAGGTGGATGGGGAGCACAGGCAAAAGCCAGGCTCCCCCCTGGGCCCCTCATCCACCCTGCTGCCTAGGACCACTAATGTAATGAGCGTGTGCCGGTCTCAGCATCCCTGCAATGCCCAGGGCTCTGCGTCGTGCGGTGCCCCATTAAATCAGCACATCCTCCCTCGCCTTTGATGTTACAAATAATTCACTGGCTTCTCCGGGTTTCAGCTTGATTTTTTTTTCGCTTTGAACAGCCCCTCTACCTGCTCTTCCTTTTTTTGCTGGGAAGATGAAGAATAATTAATTATCCATGAAACGTTAAATGGCAAAAATGAACTCCTCTCCCGTTAACGGCGTGTTAATAGATCGGGTTTGAAAAGCCTCGCTCGTCCTTCTGCCGCGCTGGGGAGGCTGTCGGGGGGGTGTGGGGATGGTCACCGGCGCTGGAGGGGACGGCTGTACCCTGGCGGGTGGGACACCCGCAGCACCCACAGCTCGGTGGGACCCCTCGTGCCACCGCTTTCATTGCAGGGATGACCCCCACCAGGGCTGATCCCAGGCAGCGGGGAAGTCTGCAACCCCCAGATCCCCAAAAAAGCAGCTGCACGGGCTCATCTTGCCTTGGGATGAGTTTCAGGGTGGGGAGGGGGGTCCCCAGCCCTGCGCCTGGTCTCCAGCATCCCTGCTGCCGTCCTCTTGACCTGGGTTTAGATTAACCAGAGGCAACACTAGTGGCAGGAAGAAATCCACTTCCTAAAGCAGCCGGCGCGGGTCAGGAGAGCTGCACAGAGAGCACAGTAAAAATAAAATATTCCCTGTGCAGGCTGGGTGGATGGATGGGAGAGTTTGGGGGTGGCACCACGTGTGATGGGGGTGCGATGGGGGTTTGGGGTGCAGGCGGTGGGAGCCACCCTGGCTCAAATCCACGTGGGGCTGGAGAAACTGGGAATGAGGAGCTTTGGCCGAGGCCAGGCAGGGCTCAGCAGTGGTTTGTGCCTGCTGAGCTTTGTGCCCACTGCACCCGCTGCACCCGCTGCACCCGCTGCACCCGCTGCACCCGCTGCACCCGCTGCACACTGCGATGGCAGCTGAAGTTTGCCAAAAGCCCATCCTTGGGAGCCAAGGCCACATGGCTACGGGGAGCAAGGTGTCCTTCCCTTCCAGCTACGCTCACCCCCATTTACCTCCCCGGCCCTTGCCATCCCCAAATCTTTGAAGGCATCTGCAAAGGTCTTGTTTGTTTTGTGCCAAAACCAACAGCCGCCGAGGACAGCCCCTCATTAGCAGTTCAGGTACGTGGCGGGGGAAACGTCAGGTGGATTAAAATTATTTGAATATCATAATATTAGAAACTTCTATTTGGCCTCAAAATGCTCATCTTCCAAGCCCTACGAGGGCTTTGGTGCATTAAACATTGATGGAGCTGCCAGCAGATCAAAGTTTTGGGTTTAGTGCTGAAAGTGCTTTGTGGGCGCATCGGTTGCCCCCACCCCACACCACAACCCCCCCCCCCCCCGGGATGGGAAGGACCACGGTGCTGCTGCCTGCCCCACTCCCACTGCCGCCGTGGGGCTGGTGACACACAGCCCGTGCCGTGGGGCTGGCTGCTGCTCTTCCCTCCCCGTGCAGCGCGTGGTTTGCCATTCTCCGTGGCAGGAGGGATGCTTGTCGGCAAAGCAAGGCCTGGGATTAAAAATAAAAACCCACCCGGTGATGGTTGCGTGGGCCGCGTTTGCAGCCGGGGCTGGCCGGGCTGCGGGGGATCTGTGCCGCGCACGGCGTCAGCGCGGAGAGGCGAAGCCATCTGGGCTTTCGCGGAGATGGGGAGGGGGTTAATAAACAAAGAGCTGGGTTTTTTTTGTGGGTTTGGTTCGTGGGTTGTTGTTTTGTTTTTTTTTTTTTTTTTTAATTTTTATTTTTAACACACGCGAGAGCCGTCCAGCAGCCAGCGCAGAGTGGCTCGGTGCTGGTGCCAACACCATCTGCCTGCTGCAGGGCTGGCTGCCCCGAGCCAGGGGGCTGGGGAGGGGGGGTCACACCCACCCACCCACCCGTGCCGTGCCCACCTGCCCTTGAGCCCAGGTTTCACTGCTTGGGGGATGATGAGCCCAGCCCCAGTTGGGGCTATTTAGGGATGGGGAAGGGTGGGTGGGGAAAAAGGAAGGGTGAGGTGTTTTGGGGGTGGGATGTGGTGAGGAGGGTGCAGCACGGGGGAGGCAGGGTATGATGGGATGGACACCGAGGGCCTTTCCCGCGGCCCTCAGGGGCGGTCGCCGGTGTTTGGGGCGGGTAGAAGATTCCCCACCCCCAGCTTTCAGCTCCCAGCATTTGGTAGGCGCCGCACTCGGAGAGTTACGGCGTGTGTGTGTGTGGGGGGGGTTGGCAGGGAGGAGCACACCCCCCCTCACCTTTCCCAGCTTGCAGGATTGGCGGGCGCCGCACTCGGAGCTTTACGGCGTTGGCGGGGGGGGGGAGGCGGAGATCTTCCCCCAACCCCCCCACCTCCACCCGCCTTCGCTACCTCCAGTCTCCGGGATTGGCGGGCGCCGCGCTCGGAGCGTTACGGTCGGGGGGGGGGGGGGGGGTGGGGGGCCAGGCCCCGGGATTGGCGGGCGCCGCGCTCGGTGCGTTACGGCGCGGCCGTGCCCGCAGCGCGGAGCTGTCCGCGGTGCTGACCGCCGCCGGCCATGGGCTCGCCGCCGCCCGCGCTGCTCCTGCCGCTCCTCGCCGCGCTGCTCCGCGCACCGGCACACGGTAAGCATCGACACCCCCCCCCCCCCCGCCCCACAACCGCCCCCCGCCCCCCCACATCCCACCCCCCTTCCCCCCACCCCCCCCCCCCGCCACCCACACCGACCACCCGTGGTACCCGTGGCCCCAGCCCTGCTCTGTCGCCGCTAAACTTTGCCAACTTGTGCTCGCCCCCGCCTCGGCGGGGGCGCCCCCCCCCCCCATATACACACACACACACACACCCGGGGGCGTGCAGAGCGGTTTGCAGCCGGGCTGGTGCAACGCCGCCCCCGGCGACAGCCCCTCTGCCGGTATTACCGGAGATGGAGGCGGGCGGGGGGCACCGCTGCACCGAGGGCTGGGCAGGCACGGCAGCCCGGCGGGACCCGCTCCCCCCGAGCCCTTCGAGCCACCCCCCCGGTGGTGAGCTGTGAGCCGGTCCCTCCGTATGGTCCCTACCGTGGGGGCATTGGGGAGCGGGGCTCTCCCCACCCCGATTGGGGTGACCCCTCTGGCTCCGGGGAGGGTGTAGGGAAGGCACAGGGATGGCGGGTGTTGGTCCTTCCCCAAGAGAGCAGCCAACACCCAGCTCAGCTCCTTGGCTCTGCCATCCATGGGGCATGGGCTGCCTCGATGCCTTGTGGCTCCGTTGACCCAAAAACCAGGATTGGGGATCTTTTGGGGTGTGGGGAGACCTGCTGGGGCTTGGGGTGCCCCGGTCCGCTGTGGTCATGCCGATGGTGGGCAGCATGCCTGGGGTGAGGAGCGGGTGGGGGTTCGGCACCGCTGGCCCCAGCGGGGTGCAGGCTGCCGGCACAGCTCGGCCGAGCCGCAGGCAGCAGCCGTGCGGGGAGTTACATAAACTCCCCATCTGGCAGCCGAGCCCAGCCCGGGAAGGGTGTCATGGCCCTGTGCCCACTGCTATTCCTGTCTCCCTCTGCCACTGCAGCCCTCTCATGTGTGTGGGGGGGGCATGTGTGGGGGACCCTCTTCATGGCAGCAAATGGGGCAAGGCCACGGCACCCCCATCTCCTGCCCTGTCGGGGGGCAGCAAGGCTGGAGGGGGGGGGGGGTCCCTGTTCCTGGCTCTGTCCTGGGACTGGGGCCCTGGGCAGGGCAGGCTTCGCCTGAGGGAGGCTGGTGCTTACCATGTCAGTCTAATGATTTCTAATGAGCAATTACCTCTAGTCAGTCCCCTAATTTCTGAATATCAATAAAGTTAATTAAACTCCGCATGTGCATTTCCCAGAGTGTTAGAGGTAGGGATGCCCTGGGAGGTGCTGAGCTCTTCCCAGGACTGGGGAGCCACAGGGTCCCGACCACCCTGCGCCCCTTCCATGTGCTGGGGCTGCCTGTGGGGCTCACCCACCCACCCACTATCGCCCCTCAGACAGGGCTCCCAGCCCAGCACCCCGATATCCGTGCAGCACTGACACGCTCAGTGTCACCGTGGCCTTGATGTGGCATTGATGGGCTGGTGCATGGTGGGGACGTGACATGGGTCTGGGGGACACGGGGACGGGAGTCTTGGACCCCTCACCCAGCGTGGGGGGCTCAGCAATTCAGGGCCTGATCCCCTCTCTCTCTCTCTCCTGCTACCCTGTGCAGTGACCTGCAGGCCTGGTCCAGCTGTGGGGCAGCACCAGTGCCCATGGGGGTTTGCCCCAGCAGAAAGTGGGATCTGGGCCCCACAACGCTGGTGCATCTGGGGGGTACAGTGTCAGGCACAGCTCCATCCACCCTGCCCTACCACACCCCCTCTCCTCAGTTCTCCAAAGCTATGGCAGGCCTGGCTTTTTTTTTTGGGGGGGGGGGCAGGGGAGGGTCATCTTTGCCCTGCTGAAGGGAGTTCCTAATTTGGGGTCCTGGCAGCTTGGGGTACTGGGAAGCAGCGTGGGTTGTGGAGGAGGGCTCAGGAGCTGTGCTGTGCTGTTCAGCATCAGCTGGATGCACCGTGCCCATGGGGACGATGGTTCTGGGGGACACAATGGCCCTGGGGATGTGGGTGCTGGTCGAGGCCTCAGTGTGAGGAGGGGGGAAGGAAACAGGCGTCTGCTACAGTAATTAACGGCGTGTGTGCTAGTCCCTTGCGTGCCTTGGAGGAGTTCATCACCGCCACGCTGTCGTGCCACCAGGCCAGGATTATCTGGATAATGCTCTTAAGCCGGAGGGCGGGAGGGCAGGGCTGCCCCGCAGGGACGCAGAGCCCGGGCTGGGCCAGCCACCCCCACAGTCCCCCCCAGGAACCTGGTCTCCCCAGGACCAGCTGCGGGTTAGCGCTGGCAGGGATGGATTTGGCACATGGTGCCGTGCTGGGCCAGAGCAACAGAAACACGGCGGGGAAAACAGGGTGCAAAAAGAGCCTGGGCAAGAGCACAGCAAGGGCACCCCCAGGGCTGGTGCAGAACAGTGCGGGGTTCCCCGAGGTGGTGTTGGGGGGACCCCCCCGGACTGGCATGAGGCTCACCAGGGCTGCGTCTCGCCCTGAGCCAGGGTGGGAGCCGGGGCTGACCCCGGGCTGCCGGGCCCCCCCCCTGTAAGAAGAGGCAGGCCCTGGGGGAGGCGGATGAAGTTGTGTCTCCGGCAGCTCCGGCGGGAGAGGATAATTTCGCCTCCAATCAATTCTTTAAATGCGCACAATTGAAAGATTGCCTTTGAAAGCTGCCTATAACCAGGGAGGTAATGGATTCCCTCCAGTCGCAGGCAGCAGCTTGGGAGCAGCAGCATCCCTTCCTCCGGCTGCCAGGGAGACGGGGCCAGCCGGGGAACCGGCACCTCTCCCGCCACCTCGAGTGGGCAAAGGGGTCACCTGGAGCTGTCGGAGGCAGCCAGGGATGTCTCCATCTGCCCAGCTCCCCACAGGCCTGCGCCATGCTGAGACCTAATGCCGCTTGTCACATCGTTCAAGGCGTTGGAGAATCCCATCGGCTGGGGTTGGGGATGAGCTCGATCCTCTGCTTGCGGAAGAAGCAGCAGGAGCTGGCCTGCACGCTCGCCGTGCCAGCAGGGGTTATTACATATATAATTTAAATGCAGTAACGAGCTGTGCTGAAGGGATCAAATATTAATCAGCCGCGAGAGCACTGCTGTGACCCTGCGAAAATGGAGAGAGGTGTTTGCAATGCCAGATCAGCCGGCGCTGGGCGATGCGTGGGGGCAATGCCCGGGCAGGGCGGGTTTTGGTGGCCCCCAGCTGCCCTGGAGGGTGGCAGCAGAGGGGGACACGTGGCCTTTGGTGGCTTCTAGAACTCGATGGTCCATCCTACGCGAAGAACAGTGATGGGGCAGGGTGTGGGGTTTGCTGGCAAGGGGATGCCCGCGGTGAATTCCCAGGGGGGCAAAGGCAGGCACGGGAGGCAGACGGTGATGCTCCATTGCTTCCCACCCGCTGGGAGGGAACGGTGTCTGCGGAGAAGATGACATGGCTGAGCAGCCCAACACAGAGCCCAACAAGCAGCTCTCGCTCACCTCCCTCAACCGGATTTCAATTACTGTCACTGGCAGCGGGCAGAGGGAAGGGGAGCCGGGAGGGTAGCGAGGCTCTGCTCTCCCTGCCTGCCTCCTGCCCCACACTGGGCAGGCACCCCCAGCACCCAGGGGTGCCCGGTGGGCTGGGTGCTCCCCACCACCACCCTGGGTGTGTCAGGGAGGTGAGCAGTGTGGGATCCGGGGGGAGCCCAGAGCTGGCACAGATCCCTGTAGAGGGCTAGCACCCATGCCATGAGCACCCCGGGGTGGCACAGAGTGGGTGCTGCCCAGCAGCGGGGGCTCTGTCACAGGGGGTCCTGATGCAGGGCTGGGGGGGGAGGGCTGATTTAGGTGCTTCCAGCATGGGGGGCTGGGGGGTGGGCAGGCACAGCACCGCGCAGCTTCAGCGCTTGGGTCCAAAATAGCAGCAGACATGCAATTTATCACCGCCGCTGCTCAGGGAAATTGCTGTACAAATGCATTAGCTCCGCAGGGAGAGCGGGGGAAGCGGGATTACACGGGCCGTGGGCGGCGAGGAGGGGACGGGGGCACCGCTGGCACCCACCGGCTGGGGAGGGAGGAAAGCCCCAGGGATGGGCACCCCGGTGCCCACCGGGCTCTGCCCTCACGCCCGCCCGGTGTCGGTGATGCTCGGTGTTTGGTATGTCAGCCGGCACTCGGCTGCCGCCGCCGCGATGCTCCAGGGAACCGGTTGCGGCGACATGTGACATGTGTCAGCGGGTAAATGACTGTTCAATTCAAGGAGAATCGCAAAACATACAAGGTCAAACGCTTCCCTGCCAGCGCCGCCATGAATATTAAAGCCGGGCTCCTCCGGCAGGCGCTGGGGCTGGTGGCCGTGCTCGCCCACGGTGGCACGGGGGGCAGCCCCTTGGGTGCCAGCCCCGCTCAGCCATGGGCATCATCCGGGCTCACTGGTGGTGCTGGGGTGGAGGAGGCTACGGGACAGCAGGACATTCGTGCCAGCATAGGTGCCAATGGTGTGCCAACAGGGTGCCCATCTCGCCACGCTGGGGGGGGCCGGTGGGTTGGTTGTGTGGCAGTGGTGTCAACTGGGCGGTGTGGGGAGCAGGGCTGTGCGGTGGGGAGGGGGCTGCACAGCCCTGCCTGCGCCCACCCACCTCTGCCTGCACCCTCACACCGCCTGTGTGCACCTGCCTGCACCCACACACCCACCCACTCCTGCTTTGCCCACCCACTGCCTGCACCCACCCATCCCTGCCTGCGCTCGTACACCACCCACCCACTCCTGCCTGCATCCCGACGCTTCCCACACCTGCCCACCCACCGCCTGCACCCGCCCTCCTTCCCTGCCTGCTCCTGCCCACGGCACCTTCCTACCCGGAGGCATGCAGGAAGGTGCCCCCCCCTCTCCCTGCCAGGGGTCCCCGTCCCCCAGGGTCACCAGGGCAGGGGACAAAGAGGGGAACTGGCATCAATTGGGCACATCCCCCCTCCTGTGCCCACCGTGGGGACTGGAGGGGGCTGGGGGCCATGGGTGGGGGAGCGTGGCGCCGGCTGCTTGACAGCTCATTCATCACGGCTGCTGGCCTTGGACACGGGGGCAAAGCCAGATTGGATTTTAAATTGGAAAATAAACCTAGACTCCTGCAAGCCCCAACCCCTGCCCTCCTCCTGCACCACAGACCTGGCTGCCCGCACCTCCTGCCTCCCCAGGCTGCCAGCCCCTTCATACAGATGGGGAAACTGAGGCACGGAGCACCATTGTGCCGTGATGCTCCTGGGGCAGCCGAGGGCCCAGCCCTGTCCCCTCCGCTGAGCCGGGCGCTGTGTTATTGCTTTCTTGGTGGGCAGCATCGACCAGTGCTCCCCGGGCGGCCGTGTGCCGCCTTATTTATTTATTTGTGACAGCAGGCAGCATCGATTCCCGCCCGGGGGGGAAACTGCCCGCCACAGTCGGATTAGTCTCTGGCGTCTTCCCGGCTCCTGGCTGCTGTTAATAGACTCCCGCCCAGCAAAGCCGATGTGAGGGATTAGGACCCTGGCCTGGCTGCGACCGTGGGCACGTGCCACGCATGCTAAGGGGCCCCGGTGGGCACTCAGCTAGTGGGGACTTGGCAGCCCCTTCGCAAGGGTCTGTGCCCACCCTGAGCCCTGGGGGGGGGGGGGGGGTGTCCTTACTGCGTGCCAGGGCCTGGCGGGGTGTGACCTGGGCAACAGGGGTCCTTGTCACCACCCCCTGGTCACCCTGAGGGATGCGGGAGGGACAGAGCTGTGGCGCAGTCCCTGGGGATAAGCTGCTTAGAGACATCTGTGGAGGTGGAAGCTCTAATCCTGTGGTGCTCGAGGGGCATGAGTGGCAACATCTGGGCACAAGTGGCAACAGCTGGGCACCCACCGCCTTCCTGCAGTGCCCTGAGCATCCTGCATCCCCCCAAGGGCCAAGAGTATCCCTAGTCCTGAGCATGCCCTGGTGTCGGCGGCATCCTGTGGTACCCAGAGCATCCCCTGGTGTCGGCAGCATCCTGTGGTACCCAGAGCATCCCCTGGTTCCAGCGACATCCTGTGGTACCCAGAGCATCGCCCAGTTCCAGGGACATCCCGTGGTACGCAGAGCACCACACAGAGCTGGTGCCCAGGCACTGCCCAGCCCGGGGGCCACAGCACCCAGATGGGACCTGCTGTAGGAGCTTTGCTGTGGGGTCCGGCCTCACCCCTCAGCCCCGACAGGGACCACCGTGCTCCCCAGAGCCCCAAGAAGCTGAGATGCCATCGGCAGGGGTGTGCAGGGGGCTGGGGTGGGCGTCTCTGACTCTGTTTTCACTGCACGGGGCAGCCACAGCAGTGCAGGGCCTGGCCCTGAGCACTAATCTGCTATTAAAGCCTAAAAGAGATTTTGGCACCCTTCAGTATAAACTCATTAACTTTTATGTTCTAATAAATGGATTCTATTAAAAAATAATTCTGGGCTTGATGGGGGGCAAGCGAACCTTTCGGAGTTGGGGCGGCTGGGTGCTCGCCTCCCCGCCATGGGGCTGTGCCCAGGGCATTGTCACCATCCTGGGGCGATGGAGACGCAGGGTGGGTGGCAGAGCGGTGGGGATGCCTGGCAGCACCTGGCAGCCCCCCCTACACTGCTTGCCCAAGTTAATGTCTCTTAATAGTCCCTTAAAAGTGGCAGTCGCAGAGTAATTAATCTTTGCGGGGCCCTGCCCTACTACAGATCGGTATAATTACCCAGTAATTGGCAGTATCGTGTCATCAGAGCCTGTGCACGGCGGCGAGACGTGCCCACACACTATCACAGCCTCACACCCCGCACCGGGCCATGGAGGGATGCTGGGTGTCACTGTGGCATCCCTGCCACCATCACATCCCCCCTGCTGTGGCCCGGTGGGGCTGGGGAGCTGTGCCCCCCGAGGACAGGGGACCGTGCAGTGCTGGATCCATCAGGGAGAGGTGCTGGGTGGCTCATTAGGGCTGATTAAATACTTACTTTTTTTTTTTTTTTTTTTTTGGTTTAAAGTCTGTAAACAGCTGGGCTAGGCATGCAGGGGATTTGCTCAGGGACTGATGCACCAGGGAGCTGTGGCAGGGGGGTCCCCGTGGCTGCAGGTGGGAGGTGGGGAGGATCAGCGGTGAGGGGGTCCCTGACAGATTGACATTGCCCGGGGACAGCCTGGCCGGTGGGTGAATGGGGAGAAGCTGAGCTCACAGACTCATTGCACTGGTGGCCTGGAGCTGTGTCCCAGGGTTCAGGCTCCGGTGGCAACCCCGGTGCAGCTGGTCTTGGCAGACATGGCAATCACCTCCGTGTCTCCACCACGGGGATGCGGGGTCCCGAGGGACCCTTGGCACAGGACGGCCACCTCCATGGAGAGGCACAAGCTGTGACCAGGGTCACCCAACCCCAGTGCTGGCCCCACCAGGGCTCTGTCACGGGAGGGGTGGGCACCCCTTAACGTGGTACAAGTGGCAGCTGTGCATTAATTAGCCAGGGCTTAATCACCAGGGCTGCCCCAGTGAAGGATATGCTGGGGTGAGGTGTGGCAGGGTCCCCCTGCACAGGGTCAACGTACTTGTTTGCTGTCCCAGTTTTGGCGCAGATTTTGGTGGGCAGGGCAGCGCTGGCCTGTGGTGAAGTGTTGGTTCGCGGTGCAGCATCAGTCCCCAGCGCCGCGTTCATCCCCGGCCCCGCACCAGTCCACATCCAAGGGGTCGTCCCGGGTGCCACATCGAGCGCAGCACTGGTCTGCGATGAAGCACCGGTCCCTGGTGCCACATCAGCCCCTGCCGCAGCACCAGTCCGTGGCGCGTCACTGGTCCAGAATGAAGCATCAGCCCCCGGTGCAGAATCAGTTTACGAAGCAGCATCGTTCCACGGGTCCCCAGTACCCCACTGTCTCTCTCTTCCCCTCAGGCTTCAACGGGCTGGCGAGGAAGTCAGGGGAGAGCGCCGAGGCTGAGGGGGAGCCGACGGCGCTGCCCACGCCAGCGGAGCGGGAGGCGGAGGCTCGTTTCGTGAGCACAGCGCCCACGCTGAAGCTCCTCAACCACCACCCGCTGCTGGAGGACCTGCTGCACGAAGCCTTCTTGAAGAAGGACTACCTGGGCCAGGCGCCATTCCTGCCCGCTGGCCCTGGCCCCATCCTGCCTGCCAGTGCCCTCCAGCCAGACCCCGGCCCCCCAGCCCCCGAGCCCCCGCCACGCACCCCTGCCCTGCCCAGGGCCGCCTTCCCCACCGACCCGTTGACCACTCCGGCGGGGCGCCCAGGGCCATGGGGGGAGGCATGGGGGGCCATGCCGGGTGCCGATCTCTCGTGGTCCCCTGATGGGGTGCTGGAGTCAGGCCCCGTGTCCCCCAGCCAGGCACCCACATCCCTGGAACCCCGCACTGGGGCTGCCGTGGTCCCCGGGGATGAGGAGGGGACCACCACCACCTCCACCATCACCACCACCACTGTCACCACGCTGCAGGGGCCAGGTGAGCGCTGGGGAGGGAGCTGGGGGGGACTGGGGCAAAGCGAGGCTGAGCCGGGGTCTCCTCTGTCACCAGTCCCCTGCAACCGGACGCTGGCAGGCCCCGAGGGCTGGCTGGTGTCCCCAGAGCCAGCCGGTGTCCCCTACGATGGCAGCCTGGACTGTACCTACACTGTCTCCGTCTACCCTGGCTACGGCGTGGAGCTCAAGGTGAGCTGGGGGCTGTGGGTGGGATAGGATGCCAAGTGTGGCATGTCCCCTGCTCTGTGTCCCCTGCTCCGTGCTGCAGCCATGTGGCCGTGCACAGCGTGCCAAGCAGGCGGTCCTGCCCCTGTCCCCATGTCCCCAAGCCAGGAGAGCCAGCTCAGGGCATCACCCACCCTGGGGCTGCGGGGTAGGGATGCAGGCACGGGGGCTGGTGGGAGCCCTGTGCCCACCGGCTGCCGCGGCTGGCACCCAGCTCGGGAGAAGCAACGTGGGATTTAATTACTGAAGCACTGATGGAGAAGGCGTAAGCAATGCCGGCGGGTGTGACGCTGTGGTGCAGAGCCAGGAAAACCCGGCACCCATCTGCCAGGAGCAGAGGCTGGCGGCAGCTCCCACGGTGCCGAGGCCACGTGCTGCTCCGTCGGTGACACGTGGCCATGCGTCCCCACCGCCGCCCGGCCCCACCAAAAACCGGTGGCAGCAGCTCCGTGGTCACCCCCTGCTCCTTCAGCTCACACAGCAGCGCTTGCCAGTGCTGCTGCTCATCGCCGCGCAGCGCTGCTTAATTAACGTCATTAATAGCCAACTGCTCCAGAGCGCTGCCTGTCGGCGTGGGCCCGGCTGTGCCGCGGCATTCTGGTGGAGCTGCTGGCCGGGCCCTGCCGCTCATTGCAGCGCGGGGTGGCTTATGGCACTGCTAACTGTATTTGAAAGGCGCTGCCCCGCACAGTCAAGCTCCGGGGTGCTGTCGACCACCCGAGGTCCGGCTCTGAGCCGGGTGCCGGGGCGATGCCGGGGCGGTGACGCCTGGTGTCCCCCGCAGGTACAGAACATCAGCCTGGCGGAGGGGGAGACGCTGACGGTGGAGAGCGCGGGGGGTCTGGAGCCCACCCTCCTGGCCAACGAGTCCTTCCTGCTGCGGGGTCAGGTCATCCGCAGCCCCGCCAACCTCCTCACCCTCCGCTTCCAGAGCCCCCGGCCCCCCAGCCCCGGCTCCTACCACTTCCATTACCAAGGTATGGGGCAGTGCCCGCCGCTGGCACGACCCCCCAGTACCCCCTCGGGGGCTCCCCCGCCGGCATGGCGCTAATTTGGAGCGCGGCGATGCACGGCAGTTTATCTGTGCTGCTGGCCGGTTAAGCGGGCACCGACCCAGGGAAGAATGCTAATGGAGAGCTAATTGGCGTGAGCAATTACGGGCTCATTTAGCAGCATTACTGGTAGCCATCGGCATGGTGTCACCCAGCCCTGCAGCACCCAGGCACTCCCAGGGGGCCGGGGAGATGGGTGCTGTGCACGGGGTGGCCTGGGGTCTCAGCGGGGTTTATTATCCCACCCTGTAACGCCGCTACCTGCTCCCAGCCTACCTGCTGAGCTGCCCCTTCCCGGCGCGGCCGGCTTTCGGGGAGGTCTCGGTCAGCAGCCTGCACCCCGGCGGGGAAGCCCGATTCCGCTGCACCCCTGGCTACCAGCTGCACGGCGCCCGCCGGCTCACTTGCCGCAATGCCACCCGCCCCTTCTGGAGCACCCGTGAGCCCCTCTGCCTCGGTAAGGACCAGCATCGGGGGGATGTGGCACAGCTGGCACCGTACAGCCGGCCGCTGATGGTCCCTCTCCCGCAGCGGCATGCGGTGGGGTGGTCCGGAATGCCACGGTGGGACGCATCGTCTCGCCCGGCTTCCCCGGGAACTACAGCAACAACCTGACTTGCCACTGGCTGCTGGAGGCGCCCGCCGGCCACCGCCTGCACCTCCACTTCGAGAAGGTCTCGCTGGCAGAGGATGACGACAGGTTTGGCCACTGTCAAGGGGGGAAAGCAGGGGGGGGGCACGTTGGGGCAGCGCCGCACCAGGCACACGGCCGTGTTCAAGGATGGGGATGGGGGCTGTTGGCCACATTCAAGGAGGGGTGCCGCTGGCCAGATCCAAGGATGGTTGCCACTGGCCAGATCCAAGGATGGGTGCTGTTGGCCATGCCCACAGATGAGTGCTATTGGCAATATTCAAGGCTGGGTGCCGTTGGCCATATTGAAGGATAGATTCCATTGGCCACATTCAAGGATCAGTGTTGTTGGCCGTGCCCGAGCGTGAACACTGTTGGGCATTGGCCACAGTCAAGGATAGGTGCTGTTGGCCATGTTCAAGGGAGATACCGTTGGCCATGCCCAAGAATGGGTGCCATTCATCATGTTCAAGGATGGGTGCTGTTGGCTATGGCTGGGGCTGGGTGCTACTATCCATGCCCAAGGTTGGGTGCTGTTGTCCATGGCCAGTGCAGCACCCTGCCCCTGCCATGCCTTGGCAGGCTCATCATCCGCAACGGCAACAACGTGGAGGCACCACCAGTGTATGACTCCTACGAGGTGGAGTACCTGCCCATCGAGGGGCTGCTCAGCACCGCGCGCCACTTCTTCGTGGAGCTCACCACCGACAGCAGTGGGGCCGCTGCGGGCATGGCGCTGCGCTACGAGGGTAGGGGGCTGGGGCGTAGGGTGGCACCTGGGCATCCCTGCGCCCACCTGGCCCCTGCAGACCTTCGCCCCTGTGCCCGCAGCCTTCGAGCAGGGGCATTGCTATGAACCCTTTGTCAAGTATGGGAACTTCACGGCCAGTGACCCCCGGTACCCCGTGGGCACCACAGTGGAGTTCAGCTGCGATCCCGGCTACACGCTGGAGCAGGGCTCCACCATCATCGAGTGCGTCGATCCCAATGACCCGCAGTGGAATGAGACGGAGCCGGCGTGTCGCGGTGGGCGCCGGGGCCGGGGGGGTCTGGAGCTGGGGGTTCAGTGGGTGCCAGACTTGGGGGGTACCATGGGTGCTGGAGCTGGGGGTTGCTGTGGATGCTGGAGCTGGGGATGGGCCATGATGGATGCTGGAGCCACCATGCCGTGGTGCGTGCTGGAGCTCAGGGACACGGTGGGAGCCAGAGCCAAAGGGAATGGTGGGTGCTGGAGCTGGGATGGTGAAGTGGGTGCTGGATCTGGGGGTTGCTGTGGGTGCTGGAGACGGGGATGGGCTGTCATGGTTGCTGGAGCCACCATGCCGTGGTGCGTGCTTGAGCCAGAGCCAACGAGGATGGTGGGTGCTGGAGCTGGGATGCTGGAGTGGGTGCTGGAGCTGGGGGGGCTGGAGTGGGTGCTGGAGCTGGGGGGGCTGGAGTGGGTGCTGGAGATGGGGGGGCTGGAGTGGGTGCTGGAGATGGGGGGGCTGGAGTGGGTGCTGGAGCTGGGGGGGCTGGAGTGGGTGCTGGAGATGGGGGGGCTGGAGTGGGTGCTGGAGATGGGGGGGCTGGAGTGGGTGCTGGACACTGGGCGGTGGGTGCTGTGGCGGGTGTCCCCGTGGCAGTGCCGAGCCCGGCGTGCGCCCGCAGCGGTGTGCAGCGGGGAGCTGACGGACGCGGCCGGCGTGGTGCTGTCGCCCAACTGGCCGGAGGCGTACGGCAAGGGCCAGGACTGCATCTGGGGGCTGCACGTGGAGGAGGACAAGCGTGTCATGCTGGACGTCCGCGTGTGAGTGCAGTGGCAACCTGGGGATGGGGGAACGGGGCGGGGGGGCGGGGTCCATGCACCCCCCCCGTCCTCATGGCCCTGCCACCCCCAGGCTGCGGCTGGGCACGGGGGACGTGCTGACCTTCTATGATGGGGACGACCTGACGGCACGCATCCTGGGCCAGTACACGGGTGCCCACGGCCGCTTCAAGCTCTACGCCTCCTCCGCCGACGTCACCGTCCAGTTCCAGTCTGACCCCGGTGCCGGCGCCTTCGCCTATCGGCAAGGCTTCGTCATCCACTTCTCCGGTGAGCCCCACGGTGGGATGGTGTCCCCAGTGTCCCCAGTGTCCCTACCGCCCTGCTCACCCCACCGTTCCCACAGAGGTCCCCCGTAACGACACCTGCCCCGAGCTGCCGGACATCGCCAACGGTTGGAAGACATCCTCGCAGCCGGAGCTCCTCCACGGCACCGTGGTCACCTATCATTGCTACCCCGGCTTCCAGCTGTCCGGCACCGACCTCCTGATGTGCCACTGGGACCTGACGTGGAGCGGCGACCTGCCCTCCTGCGAGCGGGGTGAGGGGTGGCTGCCGGCGTCCCCCTGCCCCACGGCGCATCCCTGGCAGCCACCGTCACCGCCGGTCCCTCCCGCCTGCAGTGACCTCCTGCCGGGACCCCGGGGACGCCGAACACAGCCGCAGGGTGGTCTCCAGCCCTAAATTCCCGGTGGGAGCCACCGTGCAGTACGTCTGTGACAAGGGCTACATCCTGGCGGGCGCCGGGACCCTCACCTGCCACGACCGCGCCGTGGGGGGACCCAAGTGGAGCGACCGTCTCCCCAAGTGCATCCGTGAGTCAGGTACCCCCTCCCTGGGGACGTCCCCTAAACCAGCGGCGTGCACTGATGCCACCGCGCCCCTGCCCCGCAGCGGAGACGTACGAGCCTTGTCACAACCCCGGTGTGCCGGCGGGTGGGCGGCAGAGCCCCGAGCGGCGGCTGTACCCAGCGGGAGCCACTTTACACTTCTCCTGCACCGCTGGCCGGGTGCTGCTGGGCGAGGGCAGCCTGCGCTGCCTGCCTGGGCACCCCTCGCACTGGAGCGGCTCGCCTCCCATCTGCAAGGCCGGTGAGAAGACACTCTCCCCCCCCCCCCTCACCCCGGCACCCCACCAGCACCGCTCGGTACCCCTCTTCTCACCGCTGATGCCGGCTTCTTGCTTCCAGCCTCCTACGATGAGTTTTACAGCAACCGCAACCTGGATGGTAAGGGCAAGGGTTTGCCGGGGCAGCCTGGGGTGCGGACGGGCACCCCGATGTGGGGTGGCCCTTTGGTGAGCCCCCAACTCTCCCGGGCAGCCGTGGCCAAGGCTGTGCCCTCGGGGACGGCACTGGAGGGCACCAATGTCGCCATCGCTGTCTTCCTGCCCGTGCTGGTGGTGGCTCTGCTCATCGGGGGCATTTACCTCTACTTCTCCAAGTGAGTGGCTGGGTGGCCCTCGTCACCCCATGGGGTCCCCACAGCTCCCCCACTGCCCACCCAAGCTGCCCTCTCCTCACAGGCTCCAGGGGAAGCCGGCCCTGCAGCTGCCCCTCTCCGGCTCCCACCCCTACGACCACATCACCGTGGAGTCAGCTTTCGACAATCCCACCTACGAGACAGGAGTAAGTACTAGCCCCCAGGCCCCCCCGGCTGGGGCTGGGCACCCTGGGGACCCTGCATGGCATGGGCCATGTGTGACAGGGGCTGTGCGTGGGGTGGCACAGGCGTGGGGTGGGGCCGTGCACTCCAGGGACCACGTACAGGATGGGATGTCCAAGCAAGGTCCATTCACATGATGGACATAAATCCAGGAAACCACACATGGGATGGGACATCCATAGATGGACATTCATCCAGGGACCATGCATGGGATGGGACACACATCCTGGGGACCACACATCACCTGGGGCATCCATTCCAGGGATCATGCATTAGATAGGACATCCATGCAGGGCCCGTGCACATGATGGGACATCCAACCATGGACCTCACATCATCTGGGACATCTATCCATGGACCTCACATCATCTGGGACATCTATCCATGGACCACACATGGGCTGGGACATCCATCCATGGACCATATATGGGCTGGGACATGCATCCAGGGAACACACATCATCTGAGACATCTACCCATAGGCCACACATGGTCTGGGACATGCATCCAGGGACCACACATCATCTGGGACATCCATCCATGGACCACACACGGGCTGGGACATCCATCCATGGACCACACATCATCTGAGACATCCATCCATGGACCATATATGGGCTGGGACATCCATCCAGGGACCACACATCATCTGGGACATCTACCCATAGACCACACATGGGATGGGACATGGATCCCCAGGGCTGTCTGTGATCTGGGATGTGCCCCCAGGTCCCAGAGGGGTGGGAGATGCCCTGTCCCTGTCCCGGGCACCCCGCCGCACCACCAAGTGTCCAACCCCTCGCAGTCTGTTTTCTTTGCAGGAGACGAGGGAATATGAGGTGTCCATCTAGGCGTGGAGCTGGGCGCCCCAGCCACCCCTCCCGGGTCCCCCCCGTGCCCGCTGGCCCCTGGCACGGGTCGGCCACACCTCTCCCAAGGAGACTCAAGCCAGGACTGACCCAGGCACCGGTCACCCCCCTGCCACCCCCAACCCACCCAGACCCCTGTGGGGTCTGCCTGAGCCCCGCTGTCACCTGCCCCCCCGCCTCAGGACTTACAGGGTGCTGAGCCGCAGGGGGTCTCCAGGCCCCATCCTGACTCCCCCCCCAAAGCCCTGCAGGGGCACAGCAGCCCCCCCAGCCCCTGTGATAGAGGGGGGACCTGGGCAGGGGGAGTGGGGCCACAGGGACCCCTCCCCACATAAGGACAGGGCTCCCCAGGGCTGCAGTGGGGAAGGGAGCAGTGGGACACCCTGCAAAGTCCCGGGGGTGGGGAGAGCGAGGGGCTTGGGTGGCCATGGGGGTGCTCCCCCCCCCCTCCAAAACACAGGGCCTGCCCCCCCCCCCCCCCCCCCGCACCCCCATATCTCCCACCACCGCCATGCAGGGATGTGTTGCCCCCCCCACTCCCGTACCCCGAGCATGATGCGTCCGTGTCGTCTCCCCGCTTCAACCGGTCCCCCGCTTGCTTCGCCCTCCCCGGGGTGTGTGTGTGTGTGTCCCCCCCCCCAAACCCCGTCCCGGTACCTTACCTGGGCCAAATCCGGGCTGCCAGCCCGGGGTGACGGGGTGGGCTGGGGGGCACCGGGCATGGCTGTGCCCCCCAGCCGCGTCCCGCCCGGGCTGGTTGCCACGGCCCCGGCCCCAGACCGCCCCCCCCCCCGCCCCCGTCTGAAGAGGACCCCCCCCCCATCTTTTGGTTGTTTCATTAATAAAAACTGGTGTTTTAGAAAAAGCAGTGGCGTTTATCTCAACTGGGCCAGGCAGCCCATAATGGGGGGTACATCCCGCCAGGGTGGACCTTGAGCCCCCCCTGCCCCCACTCTGCACCCCCAGACAGTATCCTCATGGCATCGCCCCGCCCACTCCTCCACAATCCGGCGGGGGGGGGAAGAAAAGGCAGTGCCGCTTTAAGAGGCGTGGCTTCCTGCGGGTGGCGTCACACGCAGGGTGCCGCTCCGGCGCGCCGCTCGCCGCGCGCCCCCTGCCGGCGGGCGGGCCCCGCCGCGCCGCCTCGCCCCGCCCCGCGCCGTGACGTCACCGACGGCCGCGCTTTATCCTCCCCCCCCCCCCCCCCCTTCTCCCTCCCGCCCCGGAACGTGACGGCTGCCACGCGCCTGCGCGCCGCCCCGCCTCTCCCGCGCCTTGGCGCGCCTGCGCCGGGGGAGGGGGCGGAGCCGGTGGCGCTCCTGCGCAATGGCGGCGCGTGCACACACATACACACACACACCACCCCCCCCCCCCCAAGTCGCGCCAGCGCCGAGAGCGGGAGGCGGTGCGGGGCCGCGCATGCGCGCGGGTTGAAGGAGTGGAGGGGGGGGCGCTCCCCCCCCCCCCCCCCCCCCTTTCCCCTCTTCTCCCGGCGGCGGGGCGCGGTTCTGCGCATGCGCGGGCGGCGGCGGCGGCGGCGGCGGCGGCGGGGCCCTGAGCGTCGGCGCCGCCTGTGTGTGCGGGGCGTGCGCGGGGCGCGTGCGGCGGCGGGCGCGGGGCCGCGCCGCCCCCTCCCTCCTCCCCCCCCCCCCCCCCACCCCCCTCCCTTTGCGCGGCATGGCAGCGGGCGCGGGGACCCCCGCAGCCGCCCCCGGGCCCGGCTGGAGGAGGAGGAGGACGACGGGCAAACCGCAGCGGCCCGTGGGCTAGGCCCCGCCGCCCGCCCCCGCCGCCCCCCTCCCTCGACGCGGAGCCGCCGCCGCTGAGGGGCCGCTCCTCCCCCCTACTCCCCTCCCCCCCCACCCCAAGCTTCGCTCCCTCTCGCCGGGGGGGGCTCTCGGGGCCGCTCCCGGGCTGGATGAATGTGGGAGAAGATGGAGACCAAGACGATCGTCTACGATCTGGACACCTCCGGGGGGCTCATGGAGGTGAGAGCCGGGCCGCGGCGGGGGGGGGGGGAGGCCTGACCGGGGAGGCCGCGGGGCTGCAAAATGGCGAGGGGACCCCCACACTCCCCCCCCCCCCCCCCCCCCGGAGCCCCGTGGCCATACAAGGAAGTGCGGAGGGACGGAGGCGGCTCGCCCAATCCCCGGGAGAGGCCCTCCCGGACACGGGGCCGGCGGGCGGGGCGGGCCTGGCCGAGGCCCTGTCCCGGCTCTGTGTGTGTGTGTGTCCCCCTCCGCCACGGCGGGCCCGGGACCGCTTTCCCCCGGCAGACGGCTGGGAGAAGGGCGCTTGGGGTCAGGGTCCGTCCCAGCCCCTCAGAACCCCTCTCTGTTTGTCTGTCTGTGCATGTGCAGCAAATCCAAGCCCTCCTGGCTCCCCCCAAGAGCGAAGATGGGGAAAAGAAGAGCAGGAGGCCCGAGAAGGAGCCCAGGCGAAGTGGCAGGGCCACTAACCACGATAGCTGCGATAGCTGCAAGGAAGGAGGGGATCTGCTGTGCTGCGATCACTGCCCCGCCGCTTTCCACCTCCAGTGCTGGTAAGGCTTGGCGCTGTCTCCCTCCGGATCTGGCCGTCCCGACTCAGGCAGCACCTTCCCTCCAGCAGCTCCTGCTTCCCATTAGGTCCCTGCCTTGCCATGGGAGGGAGGGGGCACATGGGGCCGGGCGTAGCAGCTAAGGAACAAAAAGGAGGTGCAAACCCCGCTTGGGTCCATCCCCCCACGACTAATCCACAGCGGTTGAGGTGAAAAGCCCCCTGGCTGCTTTCTCTAGGGGGGGAGGGGTGTGTGGGTTCACCACTCTCCTTTCTTTTTGTGCTGAGCAGTGGCCGAGAGGCCTTTAGGAGGAGCGAGGCCGCCGGCTGCACGGCCTGGCTGCTTTCCTTCTGCCCCTATCCGGCCTTGCACCCCACCCCCCCGCCTCCGGATCAGATAACTTCCCCTCCTCACCCCTCTCTGAGGGTGCGTTGCTTTGGGGGGGGGGGGGGCCCGGAGAGTCCTGACCGGAGGCGGGGGGAAGCGGCGGTGGCGTCTCCGCGCCAGGCCTTGACGTTCCCAGCGCTTCCGTGCTGCTGCAGCTGCTGGGAATAATGGAGGTTGCTGTCTCTGTGTCTCCCTGCCTCACTGTTTACAATATGGCGACCTTCCTTTAAATTATATTTTTATTCTCAGCGCCATTTTGGCTGCATATATGACTTCCAAACCCTCGCAGCGCTCCCCTAGTATCTCAAATGTGAAAATACCTTCCTTGTGGAAATCCAGGCCTCCAGACTTTAAAATTGGCCGGGTTTATTCCTTTCCCTCCTTTTTTTCCTTCCTCCTGACTCTTCGGACCTGCTTGTCTCATCCGTGGGAGTGACTGCTGTGAATTGGGGGCAGTCGGGTCCTCTTGCTGGGAGTTGCGTGGCTTTGTTGATGAAGGCAGATCTTTCTGCATGTAAATCTGGGTGCCCTGTGGGAGCCGAGGTGCGTGTGGAGGCGGTGGCAAAGCTCTAGTCGGTAGAGGCTGCAGCGGGGAAGGACTCTCGATGCCTTCCCTCTCAGCTTCCTAAGCTCTCAGCACAAAGCGACCCGCCAAAGGCACATGAACTTTCCGCCCTGAAGTTTTTTTTCCTTTCTGCACTGGGAACCCAGATGCATCCGAGGCCGCCTTACCCGAATCTCCCCTTCAACAGTTGACACCGGCGGGCGGTTTGTGTTAAATTAGCGCAGCCAGAGCGGATAATGGAGTGGAGGAGGGAGTGGGGCAAGTCAAACAGCTGGAGCTCGGGCATACAGAGTATTCTTCCTTAGGGGAGATTTTTTAACCACATTCCTTTCTCTCTTTCATGCTTTGGAGCTTTGTTTGCCACCCTGTTACAGCTGTCTCCTCTTTGCTTTTTTTCTTCTGTTGTGTTTTTTTTTTTTTTTTTTTTCTTCTTTTGCTTGGTGGTTATACTGCGTTTATATGCTAATTGCAGGCCTCTGAACACTTATTAAACTGATTGCTGATACCAAGAAAACTGACTGTGCGGTCACAGTTTTGTAGGGAGTGTCCCGTTAGCAGCGTGGTAGCCAGACGAACCCGACAATGCTGTAGCGTGCAGCCATGACATCATCCCTCCTACCCTGAGGAAGTGCTACTGGTGGTGGTGCAGATCCTCTAATATTTACTGGGAGTACACTAATTAATATTTTTTTTTTCTTGGCCATGCTCCTTGGTATGCTTTACTTTAAGGCTTTTTTTTCTTTATCAGGCGTAGTTGCTTAAAATTCAGTGTTTGCTTTTAGATGCTGCTGAACACATCCCGAGCCACCTCTTAGTGAGGCTGGAGCAATGGCTAAAACTTCCTATTTTAAGATATTTTTTTTAGCTGTGACTAACGGTGTAGAGTTTCCTAGTTGCCTCTGAATCCTAGTTAGTCCTAACTGTAAATGAGACCACTTTGTGCATGGCTAAATTTTGTGCCTTAATTTAGTAAGTTTCTTGTAGTTAATGAGTGGGAAATGGTCATGTCAATCTGATAGCTGTAAAGGTTTGACTATACTTGAGTTAGTTGAATTATAGTTATAAAAAAACCTCTGGCTAGCTAGTCACCCTTCAGAACAGAAATGGAAGGGACAATTCTAATTATACCTCCTCACTTCATTTGTTGCCTTTCCTGGGGTATCTTGTGTGATCATTTTGACAGTAGCCCAGTCCCTGCTGCGGGAGGTGGCAGGGTCTGGCGTGGCGCAGGGGGCTGCTGGCCAGGCTTTGCCTACAGGCCTCCAGCTTGGGCCTGGTTCTGCCTCCCTGCTCATGGACCTTTGTCCATCGCTCAGCCGAGGTCGAGTGAAACAGGTTGTTTCGAAGGGATGCTCAGGTTTTGTTTTTGTGTTTCTTTACCTCCTACACCTTGCTTAAAGTAAACTTCCGTTCTGGATATAAACTTAGGAGTAAAGGCAGCTCTTGCAACTTCCTTTCTGCCTCCTTTTTTTATTTAAAGAGTAGCAGCTGTAATGCAATGCTTGTTTTAAGTCATTTGAATAGCAGTTTAAGTACATAGGTGGGGCATACTAGCTGAACTGTGTTGACAGCTTACCTATTCTTTAAATATTTATTGCAAGCTTTAGTACCAGGTTGCATTTATTATCAATATAGCAAAAAAAAAAAGAGCCGCTCTTAATTGGTCTAGGATTTGTAATCAGTTGGTTAAAGCTGTATAGGAGAGGCCATATTATAAAAGAAACTGAATGACAAGGGTGTGATCAGCCCAAGTCACACAGTAGGCTGGAGACAAACCCAGGAGTTAACCCAGCTCAGTGGTCCATAAACTAGTTTTGTTTCTTCCTGTGTAGATGATGATTGCTTTGGTATCGCTTCTTCTGTATCGTGTTGTTTAAACATGTAGTGAGCAAGTTGGCTTCTTTAGGTAAGTGTGTGGTTCTCAAACTTCAGCAATTTGCCTTAACTTCAATTTAGTACCTAAACTTGTTTTGTTCAGAAAACAGAAGATGCTTGGCCAAACCCCCCAAAACTTTCTGAGTCTGATAGTATTACACGCCTCTGATGATAAATGACAAGTTTTGTTGATACACTGTGGGAACGACTGCTCTCCTGAATTAATGTGGGTGGAAGTGGCTTCCTAATTCATCTGTCAGGGTGTCAGCTCTTCTCTCACAACTCCGTTTCAGAATTGCTAGTTCAGCATAAAACTCCTACCAGGTACTGTAAGGGCCGGTCGCTGGGGGGGGGTTACCGGCCTGGCTGCAGATAAACTGCCTTGGTGGGGGGGATACAGGAAAGTGTAAAATCCCTTCCAGATACTTAGTTTCAACATACTTGGATTAA